GAGAGAGAGAGGAGGGAGGGGAGGGAGAGAGGAAGAGAGGGAGAGAGGGGAGGGATGGAGGAAGGGAGGGGAGGGAGACAGGGACAGAGGGAGAGAGGAGACAGAGGGGAGGGAGGGAGGGAGAGAGGGGAGGGAGTGGGCTATCAACCTGTCACCAGCAGCGAAACAGCCCTGCAGGAAGGCAAACAGGGACCCACCTGAGCGGCCTTTCCTCTCCGCCCGCTCCAGGAGCTGCCGGTTGAGTGTCTCCTGGCCCAGCAGGTTGTGGCGGGCCACGGTCTGCCGGGGCTCTTCCTTCTGGGCCCTTCTGTCTTTTTCTTTTTCCCTGTCCTTTCCTCTGCTGCGAGACTTTTCTGCCTCTCGATGTTTCTCCTTCAGCTTTTCTTTCTCCCGGTCTTTTGCGTCTCTTCTCCTCTCCCTGTGTCTGTCTCTGTCCCTCTCCCCATGAGGACTCTCCTTAGCAGTGTGGACTTCAGCCGCCCTGTCTCTGCTCCTGGCATCCTGGTCGGGATCCCTGTACCTCGGCTCCTTGTGTTCAGGAAGGTCCATTTCAGACCCCTTACGCAGCTTCTTCTCTCTGTGCTTCTTTTCTTCCTTGGAACCGCCTGACTGTATGGCCTAAAACAAGAGAACAAAGGGTCCTCCGTGACCAGGAAGGCAGATTTCCATTAGACTTTTAATACCTGAATGTGAGAAGCACATACAGCTGAAGGACCTTAAAACATATTTGCATTCGGCTGCTTTCCAATCTCAGTTTCCAATCCTAGACAGGTCAGGGCCTGCATGGAGGTTCTTAGAACACTAAAGGACATGGAGTCAAGCTTAGATTTCTACAGCTGCCCACCCACACCCCTGATATCATGGACATTCACATTTATCAGCAAATCAAATCTAAAATACTACGTGTATCAGAGGGTGAAAAATTACCTATCGGGTATAATGTTCACTATTCGGGTGACAGGTACAATTCGGGTGACAGGTACAATTCAGGTGTCAGGTGCACTAATGGCCCAGACTTCACCACTCCGCAAGATACGCATGTAAGAAACCTGCACCTATAACCCCTAAATGTGAAAAATAAAGTAAAATTCAAAAAAAATAAGTAGGGCCAGGCATGGTACCTCACACCTACTATCCCAGCACTTTGGGAGGCTGAGGCAGAAGGATTGCCTGAGGCCAGGAGTTCAAGGCTAGCCCGAGCAACACAGCAAGATCCGCATGTTACCCAAAAATTAAAAAATTAAAAAAGTAGCAGGCCTGGTGGTTCATGTCTGTAGTCCTAGCTACTCGAGAGACTGAGGCGGGAGGACAGCTTAGGCCTAGAAGGTCAAGGTTGCAGTGAGCTATGATTTCACCACTGCCCTCCGGCCTGGGTAAAAGGGTGAGACCCCATCTCTAAAACATAAAGTAAAATTAATTAAAAATAAATAAATAAAATACTATATGTGTTAAAGGAGAGATACCGAAGCTATGTTTTAAAGTCGCTAAGACACAAACCACCTGGGCCCCATACAAATGAGGACTCTCTCGGTCCCAAAGCCCCTCCCCCCACCCCACCGCTGCAGCCCCTGAAGCCAGGACTCCCACCCCGGAGCAGTGCGGAGGCCCCTGAGCCTTGGCAGGGCCCCACGAGCGGTGGGAGGGTCCAGCTGGCTTAACAAACGTTCCAGAGGGACTGTGAGCTGCACGCCTTCACCTCTGAGTTGAAAGTACTTCTGCAATGAGGCACACGTAACCAAAGTCACCCAGTGCTGTGTACCAGGTAAACTGGGTCCAAGAAAACCACACGAGTCCCTCACAGACCCCAATCCAAATCTTCACAGTCATTACCCAGAGATGTTTTCTGAGGTCATCTGCTTTCCAGGTATCATCTTTGGTTCTTCTCTAAATAGAAAAGTATAAAGTTAGAAGTTTTAAAGTTTAAAATAATTAATTGTCTGTGCTCCAGTGAGCAGCTTTTCCATTAGGCCATTTAAATCAATGGCAGTTAATTCTTGACATGCCAGAAAATACTTCTCTACTTCCTGGAATAAAAGGTAACAGAAATACAGATTTCTAAAAATTATTCACTAGTCTAAAATGACGCATTATTATAAAATGTATCCCTTTGGCTACTTCAAAAACTATTAAATATTACAAAACAAAAGTGAAAGCAAGTTACAACAGCAGTTGAACAACAGAGGAAGGACAAACATTCCGTGGGTTTAAAATATCTTGTGTCAGACTGTATTTTCCAAAAACAGCCACAACAGACTCACGTCCCAACTGCTGCGCGCAGGAGTCTGTGCTCCTTCTGCGGCCGCTGGGCTCAACCCAGGACATAAGGCATCGTGGGCCTCCCAGGACAATGGGTTTCCCACCTGGTCCTCCTGGGCTGCAGATCCAGATACTCCCCTGTGAGGAAGAGAAGCAGCCCTGGGGAGAGGCCCCTGCAGATGCCACAGCCCAGAGGGTCCCTCACAGCCAGCACCAGGGCAGGTGCGTAAGAGGCACAGCTCCCGTGGCCCCCCATGAGTCACCACCTCCCGAACCTCGAGTCTCCCCAGCCGAGGCCCCAGGTATCAGCGACAGAACTAAGCCTGCTGCTGTGAGCTCTCCTGATCCACGGAGTATGTGAGAAATTAGACGGCTGCTGTCGTCTCACACCACAGCCCTTTACACAGCAACAGCAGCTGGGATGTATGACAGACAGACAGAAACGAGTTTAGCATCTGGTGCGTACCACGTGCTATCCTGAGTCAAGCACAATATTTCACTCTCATAACCCTACTAAGAAGGCTATCGGCTCCATTTTTCTAATGAGCACAGTGAGGCATCGTGAGGCTCAGCAGCTTTCAGCTCTGGAGTCCTGCCAAGTGCCAACACACGTCAGGAACGGAACCGACTCCTGTGGAGTGAATGCTCAACAGTCGCCAGGGAAAGCCTGCCGGTCCCTGAGGACACCCGGTCACACCCGTCCGCTGCACTGGGCAACCGGTGGGCCCACAAGCTCACCTGTCTCTCTGGCCCTCACAGGCCCTGTACGTGTATTCAGCAAATAAACGCCAAGCTCCTCACACACACCGAGCACTGCCGCAGAGCTGGGGCTGCGCAGATAAAACCCAAAAAAGGCCCCAGGCCCAAAAATGCCGTCCACCTCCTCTGATGTTTGCTGTTCTCCACCACGAAAGTGTGTGCTCCTCGCTGGATAATCCACCTCTCAAGAGTGATGACATCCCTCCAGCTAAGCCCTCACCTTCCGGAAAGGAAGGCCTGTCTTAGTCCTCTGTCACCAGCACTGCTGAGCATGTCGCAGTGCCTCACCACCAGCCGTGAGAGAATCCACACTGTGCGTGCCGGGAAAGGAGGCATCCGGGCAGCCGGCTCACCAGGTATCCAACTGTTCTAAGAATCTGAGGGGGAATATTAAAATAACAAGGTGCCGTGGTCTTAAAACATTTCCACTGACTCTTCAACAACCCTTCCTTTACAAGTCAAGCCGATTCCCCTTCTGGCGAACGTGGGCCAGATTCTATGTCACACTCTTCTTCGTCGTCATCTTTTTGTTTTTCTGACAGGGTCTGGTTCCGTCACCCAGGCTGGAGTGCAGTGGCACAACCTCGGCTCAAGTCATCCTCCCACCTCAGCCTCCCCAGTAGCTGGGATAACACCTGGCTAATATTTGTATTTTGTAGAGACAGAGTTCCGCCACGTTGCCCAAACTGCTGAGCTCAAGCCGCCCGCCCAGCCACACTTCTGATGAGGAGGGCGGGGTGGAGGCCTAGCTGTGTGCCTTCCCGTTCAGGGTCCCTTCCAGAGCTTCTACCTGGCTGTGGCGACCACTTGCTGTCACCGCACACCCTGGGAGACGCAGATGCCATAGCACAAGGATGCCCAAGCACTCCTAGGGAGGCCCAGGCAGAGGCCACCACCAGCCCACACCTCAGAAGGGCCCCTAAGCCCAACCCTACCTTCAGGGAGCGTGAGGACTGCACCCTAACGTCCCCCCATGCCACTCCCAAACCCCGACCCACAGGAACCGGAGGACAGGAAAGGCTGACTGTGCTCTAAGGCAAGGCTGGGACTCCCCTTCTGCACCCTCGCCCCCAGCTGGGGCGCCTCCTGTCACACTGCACCACCGCCTCCTGGCAACCCTCGAGATGATGATTCCGACAAGATCCACGCTGGTCTCCCCGAGGGGAGCATGAGCTTTGCTAGTGCAGCCACAGCTCCTTCTTCTGTGCTGCTCCCACTCCACAGTTGCACTGAGGCCTGAGCAGAACCTCAGTGCAGAACACACAGGTGCTTATCACCGCGCCACAGTCACACACTCCAACAGCATAGGGTACAACCCTACAACCCCAGTAAAACCTACCCACTTATCACCATGCCACAGTAACACTCCAACAACACAGGCTACAACCCTACGACCCCGGTAAAACCTAACACTTATCACCATGCCACAGTAACACACTCCAACAACACAGGCTACCACCCTATGACCCCGGTAAAACCTACCCATTTATCACTACATCACAGTAACACTCCAACAATACAGGCTACAACCCTACAACCCCAGTACAACAGAGCTTCATGCCAAACCTAACCGCATATCACCATGTCACAGTAATACTCCAACAACACAGGGTACAACCCTGAAACCCCAGTAAAACCTAACCACTTATCACCATGCCACAGTAACACTCCAACAACACAGGGTACAACCCTACAATCCCAGTACATCAGAGCTTGATGATAAACCTAACTTCAGCTAAGCAAAATCAATCAAGGATGATTTCCTGCAGAGAATATGCCATAATTATCCAATTTTTCCCTTTGAGAAACAATTCCTTAAAGGTATAAATAAAGGAAGCATTTGGGAGTTTGTTTCAAAAAAAAAAAAAAAACAGATTTAGTCCAAACAAAAAATGGAAACTTTTCATGGACAAGCCACTAAAACTCTTCCTGGACATGTGAAAATTAGGGCAAACAAAAAAAGCTGTAATACCTCATAAATATATTAAATAATTTTTTTTTTTTTTTTTTTTTTTTGAGACGGAGTCTCGCTCTGTCACCCAGGCTGGAGTGCAGTGGCCGGATCTCAGCTCACTGTAAGCTCCGCCTCCCG